ATAACGGCGACTCGTAAATCTAACAGCTCAAAATCATGAAACCAGAAAGATTTAAAATGTGTAAGTTTAAGAAAATGGTAATCTTCTACATTAAATTTACAATTCATATTTCTGTGCATTTAATTTGCATCAAGTAGCAGCCATTAAATTCTCCTTTTTTGCTACTTACAACGAATAAAGCGTAATCCTTCAAAACATATGTAGTACAATGAAATAATGACAAATGATGTTTCAAGTAGTCTGCCGACAAAACACAACAACAGATGTGTAATAAAGTAGTTGGTAAATGGATTGAATCAACAATATCCGTTTTATTGTTGGAAATTCGAGGAGTTAATAGCTGCCTGCTTAAAGAACCGACTTACAGACAATCTCATTTAAAAAGGCTGTTATAATTATGGTACATTATATCCAGGTCCGGTTACACACGAAGTTTATCGTGCATTAATTTCGCCGTTACGTCGAAAATTAATTTACGAATAACATTTTATACTTTTTATGCGATGTTTTATATGCATAAAACGGATATAAAATAGAAATTTTATCCGCCGATAACAAAGTAACCTTAACCCCTTAACCTAAAACTGCGGGCATAGTCCGTAGTACGGTGATCGGACCAAACGTAAATATTACGGGCATTCTCGAACGTAAATCGTAGTTTAATCGTAAATTATATAAACGTAAATCGAGTTAAGGCGAATTGACAGAAAGTGAGTAAAGTCGAAAATTTTTTTCTTTTTTTTTTCTTCTTTATTTATTTATTTGGATTTTACAATTTGTTCAGTAGGACAGGTCGAAAATCTCAGTCAAAATTCTACGAAGGACATATGATAATACTTTATCGAAAAACGTAAAGCGTTGCAAATAACTTTTGGATATCAGTCTCGTGAAAAAGCTTTTCACTGAATTGAATATATTAAGCGGAAATCAAATAGAAAGTAGCACAATTATCACATAAAATGTTGCAGTATGTCAAAGATCCATTATTTATGCAAACTACCCACCGTTTATCGTATTAGTTTGTATTTATAGTAGCACCAGTCGATGTAAAGTACAGACAGATATGAAGAGGTCGGAAAGTCAATAGTCGATATCGTAACCGACGTAATCAGACAAATATTGCAAAAATTCTAAGGATTTATAGGATCAAACGAGAAGAGGATGATCTCTTGTACCAGGAAGGAGAGAGAAATACACGAATAACTTGGAAGGAAGATTTATGTCGTGTTATACAGTTTATTGACACTGTAACGTTAGACACAATGATGGAAGAACTTCTATTATTTTGGTAATAACATGCTGCGTCTTCTATGAAATCTGAAATTATCTCTTCGAGGTACAGCATTTTAAGACAAAACAGAACTCCAGTTGTATAGGAATTTTATTTAAAATTACCATCGCTCTGGATGAGTTACGAACGCGCACAGATCAAATTTGTTCACCTTGAGAAATACGCAACTAATTTACATTAAAACTCTGCAGCACGTGAAACGATACGTTGTGTTTGCTTCGATACAAACCATTCACATTAGACGGCTATTGTTGGCTTTATTCGGCGATCTAAGGGAGAAGTTGTCACAACGCTCTTACTTTTAATTATCCTTATAATTATTATTATTATTATTATTATTATTATTATTATTACTATAAAAATTCTTGCAAAATCACCGGTTGGACGTTGCTCGTGTTAACGCGGTTATGCATATGTATCTTTATAAATAAAAACCGCCGACACGTTTTAAAAAAACTATGCTTCGAGCTATTCTAATCAGAAGATGAGATCCCCAGCGACTATTTCTGCCTCGCTAATTACAGCGCTCGGGCTACAACTTACTTTCTATATTCTGACGTAAAACTTAGCTTTTACGTTTTAGTCAACAACTTACTGTTACATCCCGGTCGTCTACGTCGTCGTGTCTATTTTTATGTCAACGTCGAGGCGTAAATCGTGAGGTTCCAACGACAGTGATGTTTTCGAAAACGTTCGGTAGCTCGAGGGCTTTGCCTGTCGAATCGTCAAGGCTGGTAAGTAAATTTTTTACTTTTCACGGTCAATGTTGTTGGCTTCAAGTTTAAACGATGCAGCGCTTTCAACTGCTGCGTGTTCAATGACGTAAATTATTCAACGAGATAAGAGCACGCAGCGACATAAATCAACTCTCGCCGTACAACTCAAACATTTTCGTCATTTACAAGTTCATCGTGTTCGTCTTTAACTCGCTGCGAACCGTGCGACCTTGTACGTCGTCGTCGCGCCCATCTTTTACGAGTGCAACCCTTCCTTCTAATTTGTTATTTCTTATATCGAGTCTTGAGCTCTGCACTTTGTTAATTTCAGTTAAGTGTTAGAATAAACTGCGGTCAAAGAATTTCGTCTAGTCTCTAGTTGGATTTTTTTATTTAAATCGTTCGATCTACCTGACGGAGGTGTTAACGCCACATTACTAAACAAAAAATGGAATGAAATATCACTGTGTATACGCACATGTAAATAATAAAAGAAACATCTTAATGATCAATATATTTATTCATGAACGAACGTGCGTAGTTAGCGAATGTTCATTAATATTGAAATATTCGAACGTGAATAAATCTTTTAATAATTATTCCGTGAATCATATATGATATATCTCAAATGTTTTACTAATTTCAATAGTGCATTACAGTATTTCTTTGGAGCGAGAAAACGGAATGTTGTTCTTAACGTTTGAATGGAAACCGCGACCGAACGATCTAAAGCGATACTGCTAGCATTATAGAGACGTCTAGACAAATACATCTATAACAATAATAATTAATATTAATATAAAATAATAATAAATTGTCTATAACAAATAAGTTTACAGATGACATTTTAAGACGTCCGTACTCATTAAAGCGCTAATAAAATGTTGATTATTCCTGTTGCGAAATCTCTTTAACGAGAAGTTTCAAAGTCTTTCCTTGAACGAGTAGATTATCAGTATCGCTAGAGAAATTTCCCATAAATCGTCCACGTGTATTATACAAGAGATGAGATTAATGCAAAAAATTCATTGTATATTAGAGGAAATGGGATCCCATTTTGACAGCGTACATCCTCTACATGATCTGAACTATTATACAAATGAGCGTTCGTGAATATCGAGAAAAAAAATAAATATGCAATTACATTTACATTCGAACAGGAGACAAAGGTCGTTACGTTTTGCTTATGTTAATAAATTTACAAGTCGTATGACATGACTTTAATAAATGAAAATATATTATTGAGGCGCATGGATGCCAAAGAAATTGCAATAATATTTCTCATTGAACCTTTAATTCATTTTTCGCTGAAGTGAAAGCCTTGATCCACTTAGAAGTTGGCACGACTATTACATCGATCTAGAAAGAAAGAGAAGAAAAAATAGCCTACTTCCTCTACATCTAACTGCAAAACGTAAATATATTATAGATAACATCAATTCTATATCGCAAACAATTAACAGAAGGTTATTCGACATGCCAAAATAAGTAAAAAATGAACAACTAAATATTTTTGTTTCAAGTCTCGTTTTCAAGAAAATACAGTTCGTATATGTCTAGGTAAGAACTGGTCTGGCACGCGCAGATAATAAATTTTTTTATTGATTTTTTACGAACAGAAAGAAGTTTCCTCGAGAAGGTGAGAGAGAAAGAACAGAAACGAAAAAAATCGAGTAAAGATTGAACGCCAGAACAGTTGTCGCCTGCCGATATTGTTATATATATCATCCCCACAGCGTATTTCGCCAAAGTTTTCCTCCTTCAAATTGTAAACAAAACAGGACTTGCAAGTTTCTTTTGACTGCAGTATCTTAACTGCAATTTTTTCTGCAGTGTCGCCTGCCATCGTTACATTTTCTGTTAGACTTTTAGTTTCTTAAATGAATTAAAAAATGTAAGTAGAAAATGGCCCTTAGCGGTCCTTTTCACTTTGATTCTAATTCACACGTATTTATGTATTTACAATATTAACGACAATACATATCATTCTACTCCTGCAATGAGGTAACTGCTATTGTAAAAGCACAAAACACCCGTAAAGTTGAAACCCCGCAGTTATTTTCGCAATTGGTTCATTTCGGGGACCGTTA